TAGTCATTCTATCACGTTGTTCATTGTCTGACGAATGCAACATCGTTATCGAAACAACACGATAAGAAATAAAATTCATCAAGGAAGAATATTATTTTCTATCAACCCATATTTCTTTCCATGAGGAAATTCTCTTTGCGGTGAACAGATTATTGTTTTTTACGAGTGTGTATTTCTCAAGTGGCTCTTTGTTAGTATTTCTCTTGATAGCGTGTCACGGTTTTATATGTTATTTCTTACCTTTAGATGAACTTGAACTTACATTCTATGCGGAGTGTATTTTCCTTCTCTAGCTAATGTTCCTTAAGAAGAGTCACAAACAATCGATTTCTTCACGAGTGAACGCGCTCATCTACATTCTCAATTCTTCATCAATATTTATCCACACTCTGCTTTTGCCTTTGACCAAATCCTAGTTCTATCTACTTCCAGAATCATAATGCGAATCGTTTATTTCTTATAACGATATATCGCATGCATATTATTTATGCTCTTCATAATATATTTAGTAATATTGTGTAAGCATACAGTGTGGCATAAGCGTAGCCGATTACTGTCACAATTATTACGCTTGTTTTCGTTTACAGTAAACAATAACTCGAATGCATATGAATATTTTTGTACTCGTCTTCAATAATATTAACCGAAAGCTTTTCTTCGTATACTAGTAGTCACAAAGCGACTCTTGTTAGACATGAACCTTGCTTTCATTAGAAATTCAGTAGAAGATGATGAATCTGGAGGAAGATTTGAATCGATATAATATCTTAATTATTTTTGCCTTTCAGATACAAACGGTTAATTTGAACACATCTCGGCGAAAATATAACGATAGCTGATACTTATGTCGGAAAATCGTTTTGTGAACAGTACTCTTTCAGAGCTTCAAGAAGCCAATCGCAGTCCAATATTTGGTTACGAAGATTCACTCATTCTGACATTAGAAGAAGCTGTAGAAAAACTAATTCCACTCGTTCCCAATGTCTTAGCTTATGTTATGACAGCTAAAAAGAAATATTATCGACATTCAGATTTGTTATTGCGAGATGAATCGGCGGCAATATATCTTTACACGATGCCATCACCTGATTTTTATTCTTCTCTCAACAACACACTTCGAGCTGAAAATCGACATGCACTTAAACCATGGTTTGCCTATTTAAAACTGTTCATAACAGCTCTCAAGAAGTTACCATCAATTAAGTCAGTTGTTTGGAGAGGTGTTTACAGTGATGTTAGTTCAGTCTTTGCTAACAATAATATCGACATTTGGTGGAGTGTAAATTCAACCTCGATGGATCTGAAAATTGTTCAACCATTTCTAGGCGAACATGGCACTTTGTTCACCATTGAAGTTATGCATGGCAAAGATATCTCCCAATTTTCAGCAAGTCCAGACGAGAAAGAAGTTATTCTAATGCCTGGAACTTATGTGCGAGCCAAAACCGAAACATTCAATTTCAAAGATTGTCTCTTCATTGTTCACTTAGATGAAGTAACTCCTCAAAGGTTAGTCCATTTAAAAAGATAAATAAAATCTATCGTATTCATTCGTCAATGAGAATATATTTGATTTGATCCTCCTGTAAAAATTCTCTCCTATACAAGTATAACGATCTACAATGCGATTCACGCTGTCTGACTGTCTATTTTATCCGATAAATGATTTAATATCGAAACTTAAACATTGATAAGATGCACATATCATAGGAGGGTTAAATTAAGTTTGATGGTAGTGCGTGCATAAAAGTTTATAAACTAGAATATGATTTTAACTAGAACTTTCACAATACGCATACTACCTACCTACAAGAAAATCTACAAATTATTTTGAACAGTTTTCGTACAATATCTGTTTTTCATCGATGGACCGCAGTATAGCTAAAAGTTTGCTCGAAAAAGTTCATGGAAGTGCAAATAAATAAGTCTGCTCACGATACATGAGATATTAGTTTCTCTTTTATAAATTCGCTAATAAATTACTGGGGCTGACCAAAAATACATTAAAAGAGTTTATGTTCGATAACAGTTTATGAAATATTCATTATTTTCTAAATATTGTATATGTTTTTAGTAGTGAATCACAATCTGAGTCAAATCATCTATTTCGATGGATAAAACAAGAATACAAACGAAATGGTTATATTGAACGTCTGATGAACCCAGCAAAATTCTATCCAATTGAAGAGTGTTACATTAATTTGGCCATCGTCGAAACTAAAAAACAACAACAAAAAGAAAGACAACTTCGTGATGCTTCTAACAATGATGCTATAATGAGAAGTTTTGAAGAAATTTATGGAACAAAAACTACAATCGATATAAAAAATATTTTTGAAACATGCAATAATCAAGAGAAAAAAGTGCTGGTGTTCGGACGTGCTGGAATCGGAAAATCTACATTTTGTCGATATATTGCTTATCAATGGGCGATGGGTTCATATTGGACACAGTATGAATTATTAGCTCTGATTCCATTACGTCGTTTAACAATTAATCGATATCCTCCTTTACCAATTAGTCAGAACTATTCTTTAATTGATCTTGTGAAAAAAGAGATTTTTTCATATGATCTATCTGAAAGTGAAAACAAGCTTCTGAAAAAGCATTTTGATGCAAAAAAGACTCTATGGGTTTTGGATGGATATGATGAAATTGTACAAAATGTGCCTTCACAGTTAGAATGCTTATTCGAACAATTACTTAAAACTCCACATCATATTTTAACATCTCGTCCATATCAAAATACATTAGCCTATCATGCACAAATGGAAATCACAGGTTTTACAGACGAAAATATTGAGCAATATGTGCAGCAATTTTTTGATCAAATGAAACATGAACTCGACAATTCTTTGAATAAAAGTCAAAAACTATTCAGATTCTTAGAGACAAATCGATCTATCTGGGGTGTTGCACATATTCCAGTGAATCTGGAACTAATATGTAGTCTTTGGAGTAACGAAGATTCTATAGGAACAAATGAATTAACAATAACATCATTGTATACAATAATGATAGAATGGTTATGTCGACGATATTTATCAATGCCAAATAAAAAAATTCAAAATTTACCTAAAGACGATGTCAATCAACGTTGTGAAAAAGAGTTAGCATTCTTAGAAAACCTTGCCTTTAATGGAATGAAGAGTAACACTATAATTCTACGACCAAATCTACTGAGAAAAGCATTAAATGAAGAAAAAGTCTCTTTACATGACCATCCACATATACTCAATATGGGAATTCTAAAAAGTTTTAATAAACAAGGTATCGATACTCTAATTCAAACGGATAAAGATTATTATTTTGTGCATCTTAGTTTTCAAGAGTATTTTACAGCACGATATCTGATTAAAGCTCTCAAAGAGTCTTCAACTCATCAACAAGAAATCAAGTTTATTCAACGAGAAAAATACAATCAACGTTATGCATTAATGTTTACTTTTCTATCAGGTCTTTCCAGTGAAGCTGATGCAAACATATGTTTAAACAACTTTTGGGACCTTATATTAACACCACCGATGGATCTTGTTGGAATAAGGCATATGCAACTTATTATTTCTTGCATTGAAGAGACACCAAGCCAATCAACTATTCCACAACGTACTGTATTAATAGAATGGATAGCGACATACATTGAGTATAACTTGTCCACAGGAAAACAAAAAATTTGCGATTGTCTCGCACAATCATTAAGAAGAGCACCATCAATAACAAACAGTCAAAGAATTATCAATGTAGTTATCCGTCTATTTCAAAATGATGATTTCAATACCAGAATCGCAGTACTCTCACTCATTTCTGAAATGAATGGTTCGAATCTACCGGGTGCACTGATTAAATTAGTAGCTACAGCACTAGATGATGAAGACACGATGGTCAGAGACGGTGCATGCGAAGCTCTCTGTAATATGGGAGAAAAAGCAGCGACAAACGAAGTGATCACTAAACTGGTTGGTGCATTAGAAGATGAGAGTGAAAGTGTCAGACAGAGTGCATATCACGCTCTAGGGAATATGGGTGAAAAAGCAGCGACGAATGAAGTGATCATTAGTCTAATTAGTGCATTAGAAGATGAGAGTGAAATGGTCAAATACGTTGTACGCGAAGCTCTCTTGAATATCAATGAAAAAGTAGCGACGAATGAAGTGATCACTAATCTAACTAGTGCATTAGAAGATGACTGCGAAGGTGTCAGATGGAATGCATGCCGAGCGCTTGGGAATATAGGTGAAAAGGCAGCGACGAATGAAGTGATCACTAAACTGGTTAGTACATTAGAAGATGAGATTGTCTTTGTCAGAAGAAGTGCATGCGAAGCTCTCGGGAATATAGGTGAAAAAGCAGCGACAAATGAAGTTATCACTAGCCTGCTTAGTGCATTAGAAGATGAGGATACATGGGTCAGACTCGATGCATGTGATGCTCTCGCAAATATAGGTGAAAAAGCAGCGACGAACGAAGTGATCACTAAACTGGTTAGTGCATTAGAAGATAACAGTCTCAGTGTCAGATCAAGCGCATCTGGAGCCCTCGGCACTCTAGGTAAAAAAGAAGTGACGAACGAAGTGATCACTAAACTGATTAGTGCATTAGAAGATAAGAGTGAAAGTGTCAGACGAGGTGTATGCGGTGCTCTCGGGAAAATGGGTAAAAAAGCAGCGACAAATGAAGTGAACACTAAAATGATTATTATATTAGAAGATACGAGTGAATTGATCAGATCAAGTGCATGCGAAGCTCTCGGGGATATAGGTGAAAAAGCAGCGACGAATGAAGTGATCACTAAAATGGTTATTACATTGAAAGATAAGAGTGAGTCGGTTAGATCAAGTGCATGCCGAGCTCTCGGGAATATAGGTGAAAAAGCAGCGACAAACGAAGTGATCACTAATCTAACTAGTACATTAGAGGATGACTATGAAGGTGTCAGATGGAATGCATGCCGAGCTCTCGGGAATATAGGTGAAAAGGCAGCGACAAATGAACTAATCACTAAGCTGATCAATACATTAGACGATGAGAGTGAGAGTGTCAGACGAGGTGCATGCCAAGCTCTCAGGAATATAGGTGAAAAAGCAGTGACGAACGAAGTGATTACTAAAATAGTTAGTGCATTGGCACATGAGAATTACAGAACCAGAGACTATGTATGTGCAGCTCTCGCAAATATAGGTGAAAAAGTAGCGACGAGCGAAATGATTACTAAAATGGTTAGTGCATTAGAAGATAAGGAGTATGGGGTCAGAATGAATGCATGCCTATATCTTAGGGATATGGGTGAAAAAGCAGCGACGAATGAAGTGATCACTAAGCTTATGAATATACATGGTGCTATGGACCACTTGTCTTTTGAAGCTGCAGATGCTATAAATGCTATTTTTCGTTCATCAACTGTGTTGATTGGTTTTGGTCCAATGTTAATTTCAAAACTTTGTGTCTGTGGAAGACAATTACAGTGCTTGAAAAATATCTCGCTGGATAAATTAGTCACAAAATTTTTCGATACTCAAGATGCTGATTGGTTGTTGGTCGCGATTGAGATAGCACTCATAAAAGGTGCCGCCGTGTCGATCAATGAAGATAAATTGTCGGTGTATGATGATGGAGAACCAATAGAACTGCATGCTCCAAGTTTGAAACTACATAATGAACTTATTGACGCTTTTACTAATAAGGCAAAAGCACTTCATTTATCTCTTGGAGTACCGTCAAAGCTATGAAATTAATATTAATTGGATTCCTGCTTTTGAAATATCATATATTTTTTCTTCTATATTATAAAATAACGATATACATTGTTTTTTCATACTGAGTTATGTCAACACATCAATTGTATACTTTTTTTTCGCTTATTAAATTGTATTTCATAGTCTGCTTATTTATTTAGAATTATTGAATGTAGTGTAGAAAAAAAAACAATTTTATTCTATTTTCAGTGATACAAAATAGTTATTGATTGTCAACCACTTTGTAGAAATCATTTGATAGATAAGTAATTATCTTAGATAAAAAATATAGTTTATTAAAGATGATTCTATATCGTAATCATTCTAATAAAAATAAAGTACGTATTAACTTTTTTATTAATAATAAAAATCAGAAAGAGTAATCAATAAATCTTATACTCATTTATGATCATTTTTAAAAGTATAAGATTAATGTTTGAATAAGAATTTCATGTTGTTTTTCGATGTGTTAAGTTAAAATTGAATTGTATTGCTTATAAAAAATACCACAAAAAGAAATATTTACTACGTATTCTTTTATATATTATTTCTTTCATTATTCTTGAGGGTGTGGATGTGTCTCTTCTTTATTCGAATTCACACCCACATCCATCGACATCTGTGTAAAAAGAACAAAACAAACTTTTCATTCGCTACTATAAAATATCAATAGGTAATTAATGTTAGAGAAATCAACCAAGCAAATTATTTTTGCGTCATTCGTTTATATATTCAACACAAATAATGTCGATTGACGAGAAAAGTATGACGCAAGAAGCTCAAGATATTGGATCTGAAATTCAATCTGTACTAATTAATTGTTACAATCATTTACAATGGCAATTCTCTGATGGTATACTGGAAGGTTTTCGTTGTGGTGTTACCAATAAATACATTTATAAATTTCGTCCTGATTCAGATAATGAACAAGTTATTCGTCTTGTTTTCAATGAAAAACTTGAGTCTGAAAGTGATACATTACAAAGAATAGCAGATAAATTTAATCGTATTGAATTTATTCGCTTAGTATTTCCCACTATAGGCATAAATAATCTTCCTACAGATTGGATATTCACTATTGAAAAAACTGATGTCATTCATCATCCACCCATGGAAAATGTGATTACACCAATTTCATTTGATGAAAATGGTCGTTTACAAATATCACTACTTGTGAAAAATATTAATATTTATGGAAAAAACAAATTAACTAACGAACAAACATCATTTGATTGGATTAAAAATGGAAATGGTATGATCAATTTAAATCTTACAATACAAAACTCCGATTGAATCTTTTTCTTAAAGATCTATTCGAAAAGTAAAACTTTCTTTTCTTTTTTCTATATTATCAATAAAAGATTTTAAGAATAACTTGAATTAAACATTTTATTCTATATATTGTAATTTTGAAGTAGGACGTGGGTGTGGGTGGGTGTAGTTAAATAAAAGATGAATCCACATTCACACCCACACCCACACCCTCAAGCGTTGTACTTATTTCTTGACTGCATCAAAGAATATAAAGGTAGTATAAATATATATTTCGTATTTCTTTTCTCTTGTTGTAGAATAGTTATGAAATTCACAGATTTCTATATTCTTATTTTATTGTTAACAACATCAGTAACTGTAGTCTCAACACTAATTTGTTATGATTGTCCGTTACGTCATTATACTTTTTTAATAACATCTGATAATATTCCTGATTTTATGAATTGCACAGCAACTGATACAAAACAAGTAAGCTACAAGCCAATCCAAATAAAGGTGTTGAACATGCGAGTGTCTCTTATATTTCTGCTGGATTTGATGTACCAAGAGGTTTTGATAATACAATTTCGTTTGGAAGCATCAACTATTGAAACGTAGAAGCCTCCTCAGCTATCATTTGCCACTGATCTATCTTCACGAGCAGACCCTCTTATGTGTTTTACATACAACAACTTTACAAGTACAGATGAATGTATCAAACCATTATTTCATAGTCGTCAATCATCAAACGCTGCGGAAGTTTGTTCAACAGATTTAAAAACTGAAAGAATGTGTTCATATTGTGAACAAGACACAAAAGAACGATTCTCATACATTATTAGATGAACGAATTAATCGTCTGCAACAACAACTAGAATATATTTGTAATACAAGTCGAGATTGTAATTCATTGGAGAACATACGACAGATTCAACATCGATACAAAATAGAGATTGATTTTGATAAATTTTTCAATAACAGTGGAACGACAATGTTTATTTTATATTGTCACTATAAATTATCGATAACTGTGAGAATAAAAGAAACAAAATGAATCATTGAAAGTTGTAAAAATGGAGGCAAGAGAAAGTTGAAAAGGGTAACAATAAAATGAATTCGATTGCTAGCTGCTGTTTTGTTCGTTCTGTTACTTGCTCTGCACGACACTAAAGCTACAACAAAAAAATACAAACATTTAAAATCGTCAAGAAATCGAGAAAAAAAACATGCCGCTACCTGCATAAATAGATGACACAAAATTGCCTTCTTCTTTGGATAGATACCAGCATTGACTTGACGAATAAGGATAGTCGACATAAATTGACTCAACTAAAAAGCATAATCAATGACATTCACCTATGCACTCAACCGGATCAGTGCATTCAATTGCTCACTCAGGCTGACAATGCACGAGTCTTCGTTATTACATCAGGCTCCTTAGGTAAACATGTAGTCCCTGAAATTCATGGCATGCTACAGTTAGATGCCATTTACATCTTTTCTGACAAGAAATCCAATCATCAACAATGGACTCAAAACTGGACAAAAATCAAAGGTGTTCATACAAATATGAAGGAGATCTATCAAGTATTGCAATTAGCTGTTAAGCAATGCAACCAAGACTTCATTGCCATAAGTTTTCTCATGGAAAATGAAATAGCTTCGACTTTTATGTATACTCTAATATTCAAGGATATTCTCCCTCGTATCGGATATGATCGCAAGGCAATCAAGCGCTTAGCAGCTTGTTGCCGCGAAATTTTTACTGATAATACAGCTGAATTAAAAATTATTAATGAATTTCAACGTAATTATCATCCACAACAAGCGATATGGTGGTATACACGTGAATGTTTTATCTATCAAATGCTTAATCGAGCATTTCGAGTTCTAGATGTTGATATAATCATTAAGATGGGCTTCTTTCTACGTGATTTGCATGAACAAATTCAAAACCTATACGAACAACAGGTCAGTAATTATGGAAGAAAACCTTTTGTAGTTTATCGAGGACAAGGTCTCATGAAACCAGACTTTGAAAAACTGGAGAAAACAAAAGGTGGACTAATGTCATTTAACAGTTTTTTGCCCACGACTAAAGATAAAGAAGTGTCCCTCCATTTTGCTCGAAATGCTTCAACAAAATCGGATATGGTGGGCATTCTCTTCATAATGTTCATTGATCCTTGTTTAAATTCAGCACCATTTGTCTCCACCAAGGAGATGAGTTACTTTAAGGTTGAAGATGAAATTATCTTTTCAATGTACACTGTCTTTCGAGTGGATGCAATTAAACAAATGGACAATAAAAATCAATTTTATCAAGTTGAACTTCAGTTAATTTCGGATGATGATGAAAAACGACGATTACGTACCTATCGGAGACGAGAAGTAGTTCGTGATGATTCTAGACGAGAAAGATTGATTAACTTATTGGTTAAAATCAGCCAATTTAATAAGACTGATGAACTCTATAACGTATTATTCGAACAGAGACGTGAAGAGGCAGTAAAGAAGAGTTATTACGAGCAACTTGGAAGTACTTATTTGCACCAAGGTAATTACGAAAAGGCTATTTGGTATTACGAAAAAGTACTTGAAATTCAAAAAAACTCTTCAAATACAGATTATCATGGTCAGTGTATATCATACTGTTACATCGGTATGTTGTATGCCAACATGGAAGAGTACTCGAAAGCAGTCGCATTTTATGAAAAAGTACTTGAAATTGGAGAATTATTTTTTCCTTCAAATGATCCCGTAATGGCTACTTCATACAATAACATTGCTTTGGTACATTACAATATCAAAGAGTATTCGAAAGCACTTTCATATTATGAACGTGCTCTGAACATATGGCAACATACATTACCTTCAACTCATCCTCATATAAACACTGTAAAAGAGAGTATTGAAATCGTAAAAAAGAAATTATAAAGAATATTTGATAAATAAATAATTACATCGATTTTTGATTCTGAAATTATCGTTAAATAATAACTTAAAATCCGTTAAAACACAAATAATCAAGTGAAATCGATAAAAATCATGTTACTTATTTTACAATGTAATGCACACTTGTAAATAATTAAAAATTCTCTTAAAACTGAAATGATGACTAGCCGTGTCAGTGTTAAATCACTAGATCAAATATCATTTCTACTCGATCACTTTCACTTCCGAGGAAGTAAAATGCCATTTATGACTTATGAAGTATATGATTTTCGAGTCCATCGATAAAGTCAAATGCTAGCGATCACATGAAGAATAAAGGTGATTGAAAATGCCAAGAGGAAGCGAATAGTAGTATTAAGCGTACATTCTAAAAGGTTATATCTCTTTTTCTTATCTATTTCTATGCAAAGAATGACGTTTAGATATTGTATATAAATGTTTTTGTACTATTCATTATTTTACAACAGCATTAAACATTATTGTTTGTACAAAGACTCACGAATACAAATGAGACATCAACAATTGAATATCGTTACTTTTTTGTGGTTTTCATTCCAATTATTACTTATGAATGAATTAGAAGCAGCAAAAACCAAAGATCCTTTCTATATTATTGCACATATGGCTAATAATCGTGAAACTCTTGACTGGGCAGTATCACAAGGCGCCAGTGGAATTGAAAGTGATTTTCAATTTAATAATGATGGATATCCTAGTGTTATTGAACATGGATGGCCATGTGATTGTAGAGTGAATATCTACAAAGATAGTATTTGTCGTCATGGATTACATGGAAGCTGTTCAGGATCGAAAGCCAGAAATGATCCTACAGCTCATGTACGACATGTCGCGCAACTTAAGGATGTTGCTCTGTTTATTATCGATTCTAAAATAAAAGCTAAATTGGGAAATCGACTTGTCAAAGCTGGAAAAAAAATTATTTCTTTTCTTGATAAAAATCTCTTCAAATATGGTTACAAAGGAAAAGTCATTATTGGATCTTCAAAAGTCGATACATTCGAATATATAAAAGGTGCCGTTATAGCAGCGAACAATTCAGCAAATAAAGATCATTATTTCTTTACATTTGATGGAGAAGGTGATGATTACAAAAATATTATATCAATGTTGTCTGGTTTAACAAAACATTTCATATCACTATCTAGAATGGTGTTAACGGTAAGAGCAACGGAGAACATGGTATGACTTATATTTGGACTCTAGATAAAGAATCTTCTATGAAAGATTATATCAATCGAGGTGTCCAAGGAATCATAACGAATCGAATCGCTTTAGCCAAACGAGTAGCAGTCTCGATGGGTGTCACAATGGCGAACGTGTCTACGCCTATTCCTACATCGAAATTTTCTACGCCACCTGTAGATAAATGTGATTGTGATTATCATAAAGGAGGTTGTACGATTTCATGGCCTGCGCCAAGTAAAAAAGCTTGCAAATGCCGATACAAAGATCTTATGTGGACATGTGAGGGTTCTCTCGTCGATTGTCATGTTTCTCTTCCAAAATGTTTAAATCCCGATGCATCAAAAGAAGCTTGTCAACTTGGACAAGGTGATTGTGATGGGTATTAAGAATAATTACATTAAAATATATAATAATGAAAACAACCATTCAATGATTTCAAATATTAACTAAATGATTAGGGCGAATTTGTAGTCAATAAAATTTATTCAAATTAGAAGCATTGTTTTTAGTAGAACAGATGGTGTGAGTGCGAGTGTGAGATGGCGAAAGGACATCCACACCCGCACCCAGACCTAGAATTTTGTGTAGCTAGGAGACACTTAGACAAAAACGACAGATAATAAACTTGTTCATATTGATTAACGAAAACAAAAATTATTATGCGAAAATTTTAATTTTTTATTGAGAAGAACAGTAAAATTATAAAATAATAGGATAACATATATCATGTCGACCAACTTCAGTGGTCATTAACAAGATACTCCATCTCCACAATAAAAAATTAAAATTTGCGCATTATTTTCGTATTTGTCTCATCAATGATATAATATTAAATGAATTCATGAAGTATAGAGACGCAATTATAATGATTATCGGTCTAGATGGTGGTGCTGGAACAAGGAGTATCTTGTTAATGACTGCTGAATTTAGTCGAAACGTCGATATGATCGTTGTCATCCTTATATTATCAATCATATTTTACAGTTCTTCACATTAAATAACAAAAATTTAAGATTTTCGTATTATTTTCGTATTTGTCTCTTTAATGATATTGTATTAAAAATTATTAGGCAAATATAGTTAAAAGCTCATTTGTATCAAAAAGTTAAAAATGACTCACATACATCACAAAACGAAAAAAAATCGAATCTAGCCGATTTGTGTGTTTTGAAAAGTCGATCAAACAAATTGAATCAGAAGGGACATTTATTTATTTGTTTCATTCTCTAATTTCCAGGTGTACATGGATTTAAATATGCATTGATGCATACATATACATCTATGCCTGCATACATATACATCTGTGCTTGCATACATGCATACATACATATATATATAGAGATGCACGGATGACTACACACATCATATATATTTGCATAGGTAGCTATTATCTACATACAGGTATGTATGCATGAATGTATAGACACAGTATGTAAAACATATTTAGGCTTCTGTGAAAAGTTTATTTTTTAGATTTTTATGTGGTAAGATGATAAGAATTAAATGCTTAGTTTGTTACAAAATACTAGATAATTTATAGTAAAATTTTTGAAAAATTTTGAGTTCACACGAGATTTTAATTAAATATCCTATCTTTTCAAAAGGAAATAGTATTTGAAGTAGGTCAATGATTAGTCATCTTTTCGACTAAAACATTTTTGGGTTGTCACCGAAAAACTATGAAGACTAATACGAAGTTCGAAATCTGTCTTATCCTAACGGGATCTATCTATTATTTCAGATTAGATATCGTATACAAATAAATGGCTACTCTTCCATTGAAAAAAAAAGTAATAAAAAAACACTATTTTTCACTTAAAAAAGTAGAATTTCGACAGGCGAAGTACTTATAACTGAACTTTTTCTAATAACTATTACTATACTTTTGAGTGAAAAGCACTATCAATTACTTCTGAGGACTACAAAATAATATTATTCAACGTCTCGAATCATATAAACTACTTTTCATTGTAATCGTTGGTAAAAACGTTTCCTTTTTCACTTTCTATTACTTTTCTTTCCTATTTTTAATACTTTTTCTCACTTTTCCCAAGACTTCATAATACTTTTCACTTAAAACTATACTAATAGTTACTAAAAATGGTTCATTTGTAAATACTTCGCCCGTTAAAACTCTACTTTTGAAAGTACTTTTTAATGACTTTTTCCTACTTTTTTTTTACATGGATTTTTTCAGAAGAATTCGGCCAAGGTCAAGAATGGAGAAGAACACGACGAAGTACTAGTAGAAGAAGAACCAGTACAAGAAGAACCAGTACAAGAAGAACCAGTACAA